ATCTGATCTCAGCCAATCCCTGTGAAGGGACACCCAGAAGGTGGCTAGGGAGAAGATGTTTGAGAAGGCTGTTCAGAGATCTCTCTTCTCCTGGTGCCTCTGGCCTGGGACGCAGCCTGTGTTACTAAAGAGCTATGCTATTGGGTCTCAGACTGTGCTTGCCTGAGGACCTGAAGGAACTTGGATTGAAATCTTCTGGAGGACACTACCTTAGGAAGCTGGACTGGAGAAGGACCCCCTTTGTCACAGTCTGCGTCAGGTTCAGAGATCAGTTGCTATAGCAGTGTAAGGCTTACCTGAAACCAGCAGGATAGGTACACCAGCAGGTCACCCTGGGAAAATGACGCAGGCTCACCTGAGGTGCGGGGTCTAAGCACTAACCGGTTTTCACCAGAGCTCCTAATGGTGGAGATGGATTTGGCTGCGTGTTAGTACCAGGTCGCAGATCTCAGGATCACACCCCACCAGGGAATGAGCAAGCCGGAATCCAATAGCAGATCGACAGATTAAGGATCAAGCAGAAGCGGAGTCAGTCAACAAGCCAAGGGGTCGGTCACAAATGGTAGTAGATGAGGATGAGGCAGAATCGTAGTCCAGGAACAAGCCAAAGGTCGGTAACGAAGGTATAGATGGCAGCAGGAGAGACAAGCGGGATATTGGCTGCAGAAGGCACAATAATCTGGCAAGAAAATGCAGAGACATGGCTTTTATCAGGAAGTTCATGGGAGGAAGCAGGGGTTCAAGGTTCAAGATAAACAAGGTCAAGGTAGGATCATCCAAATAATTGTCAAGGTAGCTGTCCAACATTCCAGTTGGCTCAGCAAGAAGAAACATTGCCTCTCTCACAGCGCAGAAGGGCCCAGGTTCGAACCCAGGCTCTGACACCCTTTTACGGAGGAATTCTGCAGGGAAGATAGTTAGCACGCTCAGTAGGACCTTACGCTACTAGCACTGATCTCCATAACTGGGGCCCGGGGGCCGGATATGGCCCTTTGCTTGCCCTTATCTGGCCCTTTGGGCACTATTCACACAAACTGACCCCACTGATGGAGCTAGAGACAGCCACAGTCCTCCTATTGACATAATCAGGGGGACAGTATTCATTCATTTATCTACAGTGAGGCACTATTCTTCCCATTATATATCTATATATAGTACTACCCAAGCTGAAACAAAAGCCAAGAGAGGCACTTCAATAGGGCAGTGCAGTCCATATATCTCCAACATAAATTCATAAGATCAGTGCCCACAAAATCACACTCAGAGGTTGCGCTTCACTGCATTATTGAAGTGTCCCTCTTGGCTCCGTCTCAGGGTTGGGTAGCACTATATGTCAAAACATCTATGGTTTGGAGTGTTGTTTTTTTTTTTTATCAGTATGCTTTTATGATGATTTTAGATTATTTTGTAATAAACTTTGGTTTTATGAACACCACCTCCTGATGTGCCGTTAAAGTCCACCTAGTTTTTAGTAACAATTTTTGTTCCAATTAGTAGCCATTGATTTACCCCCTTTATGCTGTTACACAGTTAATATTTATGTTAATGTACATGAGAATTCATATAGTTCAGTGGTCGGCAAGCCCGCGGCTCGCGAGCCACATGCGGCTCTTTACAAACTTAAATGCGGCTCTTCTGTGTGCCGGGCGCCCGCTCCCCTCCCTCCTCTCGGGCGGCCGCCCCAAAAGTCAGGACTCTGCAGCTGTCAGGAAGTAGGCGGGGCAGCCAGGATGTAGGCGGGCTGCGTGAAAACGAACTCCTCTCCTCTCACAGTCCGCCCTGAAGACCAGAACGGCGCGGGAAACACGGCGAGAGGAACGCGCGGAGCAAAGGTAAGTGAATTGACACAATATGGGGAAATGAATTACTATAGGGGGGATGAAGATACTATTATGGGGGGATGAATTACTTTATGGGGGATGAATTACTATATGGGGGATGAATTACTATGGGGGATGAATTACTATATGGGGGAATTATTACTATGGGGGATGAATTACTATAGGGGGGATGAATTACTATAGGGGGGATGAATTACTATAGGGGGGGATGATATTACTATAGGGGGGATGAATTACTATATGGGGGATTGAATTTTTTACTATAGGGGGATGAATTACTATGGGGGATTAAATTTTACTATGGGGGATGAATTACTATAGGGGGATGAATTACTATATGGGAAGGATGAAATTACTATATGGGGGATGAATTACTATGGGGGATGAATTACTAGGGGGGATGAATTACTATAGGGGGGATGAATTACTATATGGGGGATGAAATTACTATATGGGGGATGAATTACCTATATGGGGGATGAATTACTATAAGGGGGGATGAATTACTATATGGGGGATGAATTACTATAATGGGGGATGAATTACTATACGGGGGGATGAAATTACTATATGGGGGATGAATTACTATGGGGGATGAATTACTACGGGGGATGAATTACTCATTGGGGGATGTATTTTCAGTTTTAAAAATGTGGCTCTCAAAATAAATTTCAATTGTGGTTTTGGCGAGATTTGGCTCAGTTGAAAAAAAAGGTTGCCCACCACTGATATAGTTTATTCTTTGTACCATTTTCCTATGGATATTTCTATAGTTAGTGTCAGGGCTCCCAGGTATGACCAGAGGTGTGTGACTGATGCAGGGAAACGCAGACTTCAGATATGTGATAAACAATACAATTTTTTTATTAACACTAACAATACAAACATAAAACGCAGTGCAATACTAAAACATAATACAGTGCAACCAAACCAAACCAACCACCCACAGATAACAGTATATACAAGCAAGCGTCGTCAGGCAGGCCGGGTCAATATCAATAGGGCAGGTAAGTACAGAGGGAGCAAGCAGAGAATGGTCGGGGTCACAGGCCAGGTTCAGCAGGTAGCAAGCAGCGTAGTACAGAGGGTCAAGCAGAGAGATGGTCAGGGTCACAAGCCAGGGATCAGGACAGGTAGCAGAGAATCAGACAGGAACAGAGAGCAGGAACAGGATACAGGGCCAAGAGAAACACAACACCAAGGCAGAGTCTGTGGGTCTGGCCATCCCTTAAATACCCCAGCATCATCAGTTACAGGTGTTAGCTGGCTGCAAAGTTGAGTCTCTGATTGCAGGGAACACCCCTGGCCAGCCCTGGTACTGCAGATCAAAAGGCAGGTGAGTCCCACCATTGCTGGCCAGTCCATTCCTAACAGTACCCCCCCCTCAAGGAGCGGCCTCAGGACGCTCCAAACAGTCCTAGCTGGGCAAAATGTTCACCCCGCACCGGGTCTGGCAACTGGCGGGATATCAAAGACTGGCACACCGGGCAGGACTCCGGGCAGCGGCACACCGGGCTGGACTCCGGGCAGCGGCACACCGGGCCAGGCACACCGGGCAGAGGCACACCGGGCAGAGGCACACCGGGCAGAGGCACATCGGGCAGGACTCCGGGCAGAGGCACATCGGGCAGGACTCCGGGCAGAGGCACATCGGGCAGGGACTCCGGGCAGAGGCACATCGGGCAGGACTCCGGGCAGAGGCACATCGGGCAGGACTCCGGGCAGAGGCACATCGGATTACCAGGCGAAGCAGCAGGCAGCGGGCCACCAGGCGGAGCAGCAGGCACCGGCCCCCGGGCGGGGCTACAGGCACCGGCCCCCGGGCGGGGCTACAGGCACCGGGCCCCCGGGCGGATCGGCAGGCACCGGGCCCCCGGGGCGGGGCGGCAGGCACCGGGCCCCCGGGCGGGGCGGCAGGCACCGGGCCCCCGGGCGGAGCGGCAGGCACCGGGCCCCCGGGCGGAGCGGCAGGCACCGGGCCCCCGGGCGGGGCGGCAGGCACCGGGCCCCCGGGCGGGGCGACAGGCACCGGGCCCCCCGGGCGGGGCGACAGGCACCGGCCCCCGGGCGGAGCGGCAGGCACCGGGCCCCCGGGCGGGGCGGCAGGCACCGGGCCCACCGGGCCGGGCGACAGAGGCACCGGGCCCCCGGGCGGAGCGGCAGGCACCGGGCCCCCGGGCGGAGCGGCAGGCACCGGGGGCCCCGGGCGGAGCGGGCAGGCACCGGGCCCCCGGGCGGAGCGGCAGGCACCGGGCCCCCGGGCGGAGCGGCAGGCACCGGGCCCCCGGGCGGAGCGGCAGGCACCGGGCCCCCGGCGGAGCGGCAGGCACCGGGCCCCCGGGCGGAGCGGCAGGCACCGGGCCCCCGGCGGAGCGGCTGGCACCGGGCCCCCGGGCGGAGCGGCAGGCCACCGGGCCCCCAGGCGGGGCGACAGGCATCGTGCCCCAGGCGGGGCGACAGGCATCGTGCCCCCAGGCGGAGCGGCAGGCGCCGGACCCCCCAGGCGGAGCGACAGGTCTCGGGCCCTCAGGCGGAGCGGCGGGCGCCGGACACCCCCAGGAGGAGCGACAGGTCTCGGGCCCTCAGGCGGAGCGGCAGGCGCCGGACCCCCAGGCGGAGCGACAGGTCTCGGGCCCTCAGGCGGAGCGGCGGGCGCCGGACCCCCAGGCGGAGCGACAGGTCTCGGGCCCTCAGGCGGAGCGGCGGGCGCCGGACCCCCAGTGAGGAGCGACAGGTCTCGGGCCCTCAGGCGGAGCGGCGGGCGCCGGACCCCAGATGGAGCGACAGGTCTCGGGCCCTCAGGCGGAGCGGCGGGCGCCGGACCCCCAGGAGGAGCGACAGGTCTCGGGCCCCAGGCGGAGCGGCGGGCACCGAGACACCAGGAACGACAGTGGGCTCCGAGTCAACTGGTAATGACCGCAGGCACTGGGTCAGACATTGGATGGTCTGGCTGGACAGCGGGCATCGGGTCACCAGGCATCAGGTCATTTGGCTCGACAGCGGGCACCGCGTCATTCTGGCAAGGCAGTGGGCTCCGAGATGTCAACTGGTATGACCGCGGGCACTGGTCAGACATTGGATCGTCTGACTGGACAGCGGGCATCGGGTCACCAGGCATCAGGTCATTTGGCTCGACCGCGGGCACCGCGTCATCTGGCAAGGCCGTGGGCTCCGAGTCAACTGGCATGACCGCGGGCACCGGGGCAGACATTGAATCGTCTGGCTGGACAGCGGGCATCGGGTCACCAGGCATCAGGTCATTTGGCTCGACCGCGGGCACCGCGTCATCTGGCAAGGCAGTGGGCTCCGAGTCAACTGGCATGACCGCGGGCACCGGGGCAGACATTGAATCGTCTGGCTGGACAGCGGGCATCGGGTCACCAGGCATCAGGTCATTTGGCTCGACAGCGGGCACCGCGTCATCTGGCAAGGCAGTGGTCTCCGAGTCAACAGGCACGACAGTGGGCACCGGGTCATCAGGTATCGGATTGTCTGGCTCGACAGCGGGCATCGGGTCATCAGGTATGACAGCGGACACTAGGTCACCAGGCATCAGGTCATTTGGCTTGCCAGCGGGCACCGCGTCATCTGGCAAGGCAGTGGGCACCGAGTCACCAAGTACGACAGCGGGCTCTGAGTCAATTGGCACGACAGCGGGCACCGGATCAGGTACCGGATCATCTGGATCAACAGCGGGCATCGAGTCAACTGGCCTAATAGGATCGTCAGGCGTGGATCAGTTCATCATGCTGGGTAGAGGCATTAGGCCGAGTAGAGGCTTCAGGCCGAGTAGAGGCTTCAGGCTGAAGAGAGGCATCAGGCCGAGTACAGGCATCAGGCCACGTAGAGGCTTCAGGCCACGTAGAGGCTTCAGGCTGAACCACGGAAGGCAGGCTTCACCGGTTTGGATACTGGCAGGATGGTATTGGTTGGAAAGAATTTTCGCTTTTTTCTGGTTTTAAACTACTGGAGCACTGCAAGTAAACGCAGGTCTGCAAACGAATGGAGCAGTTGGAGACAGAGAAGAACTGGAGGATGGAACAGGAGAGGGAGCAGTTGCTACAGAGGGCTTTTTTACAGGATTAAAGGCAGGATAGGTGCAGCGAGTGGGAACAGGGGACTGACATGCGGTAGATAGCCAAGTATACTGGGCTGTAACTGGAGGAGCTGGTGGGAATACAGGAGTAGTTAGAAGCAGGACTGGGTCTTTGTAAGCTGACTGAGGCTGGGTGCAACAAGTCTGTCCATGTCTGCAGTAGGGGTTGAACAAAGCTGAGCTTACACAAAGCCTGTCTGGTCAATGACTGCACTGCGTTTATACAATCTCATTAGTGTCAGTGGTGAACATGTGGAATAACGCTCCAGAAAATAACCCACATCATCCTCTAATAACCACACCAGGGACCTCTACCTGGTCTGCACTAAATGGTGGCAAAAATTCATCCCTGCATTCGGGGGAACCAGATGAAACCAACTCTGCACAAACCTCAATCAATGGCTGCACCTCAGAGAACTCTGTGCCCTGATCTACTAGAACATGAGCGAGCCGTATACATTCTAGCAATTCATCCGGGGATACTCCTTCAGAGTTTGATAAGCATACTCCCTGTCATCAAACACTAGCAGATATAAATACTCAACCTCATCAAGATCCATCCTTCCCATCAACAAGCCAAGATGGCTTCCCTGTGCAGCCACTTCTGGTCAGGGATTGGCCTTGGTGTAATGTCAGGGCTCCCAGGTATGACCAGAGGTGTGTGACTGATGCAGGGAAACGCAGACTTCAGATATGTTGAATAAACAATACAATTTATTAACACTAACAATACAAACATAAACGCAGTGCAATACTAAACATAATACAGTGCAAACAAACCAAACCAACCACCCACAGATAACAGTACATACAAGCAAGCGTCGTCAGGCAGGCCGGGTCAATATCAATAGGGCAGGTAGGTACAGAGGGAGCAAGCAGAGAATGGTCGGGGTCACAGGCCAGGTTCAGCAGGTAGCAAGCAGCGTAGTACAGAGGGTCAAGCAGAGAGATGGTCAGGGTCACAAGCCAGGGATCAGGACAGGTAGCAGAGAATCAGACAGGAACAGAGAGCAGGAACAGGATACAGGGCCAAGAGAAACACAACACCAAGGCAGAGTCTGTGGGTCTGGCCATCCTTAAATACCCAGCATCATCAGTTACAGGTGTTTAGCTGGCTGCAAAGTTGAATCTCTGATTGCAGGGAACACCCCCTGGCCAGCCCTGGTACTGCAGATCAAAAGGCAGGTGAGTTCCCACCATTGCTGGCCAGTCCATTCCTAACAGTTTAGTTATATGCCGCCACCAGTGGCCTTATTTGGTAATGCACTTGCTTTTTATATTTACCTCCCTGAGATCTATGACACAATTCCTTTGGCATATGAAGCTCCTCCCTTCTTCTTGAGTACAGCACTTCCTGTTCATGGAGGCAGCTAACAGTCCACATGTAACAGGGACACGTGTATTCTGCATAGTACGCTACAGAAAGTATCATCTTTTGACCGCATAATACTGGAAACCATTCATTCTGCTGTATCCTGTTGTCACATGTACAGAATAAAGCAACTTCTGGATGAACACAGTATTGGTGAGTTCAGCTATCTGATAAGGATTGCCCACAGTGATTTAATATCTGCTTATACAGGCTAGGCAGAGAGGTCTCACAAGGGATAAATCGCTATCACAACGATCTGAGTCAGAATACCCTTCATGACCAGGCCTATTTGACAATGCGTTAATTTAACTGGTAATTGCGCGGTCATACAACGCTGCACTCAAACAAAATTTGTATTAATTTTTTTTTACACGACTTGAGCTTTCTTTTGATGGTATTTGACCACTGGGTTTTTTATAATTTTTTTGTATAAATGAAAAAAAAAAAAAAAAAAAAAAAAAAAAAAAAAAAGACCGAAAATTTAAAAAAAAAAACAAAAACAATATTTTTTTTGCTTTCTGCTATAAAAACATAACCAATAAAAACATTTAAAATCAATTTCAATTACAATGACAAATTGTTCAAATGGTGGCCAAAGAGCCTTGATCAGCTTCCAAAATCAAGCTGCCCTTCAGGCACTGAGTACAACTGTGTCAGCTCGCACTATACATCGCCCATCTGAATGAAAAGGGATGCTATGGTAGGAGACCCTGGAGGATCCCATTCCCAGGGGTGCCAATATTTTTTGTCTATGAATGTACGTGGATGTTATTTGTACCCGTACTAGGGCCCAGAAACAAAGGCGAACATTTTGTTTTTCTTTCTAATTCTATCTAAAACACTGATACTAAATTAATTACATGCTGTTTTTTTTATTCTTCCAAAATACACTGACCCTGACCTTTAACTCTAACCTTTGACCTTGACCCTGACCCTAATGCGGGAGGTGTGTTACCGGCCAGATCACCAAGTGCACACAGAGGGGGGAAAAAAAAAAACTAATGCAACCACCGCATCTAATGATTGCTAATTTGACACTTTTTTGTTTACAAGTAAAAAGCGTACACTCCTGGAATGGCACTCATGGTAATTAAAAATCTCCATAGGTGACAATTTAAATTTTTTTGCAGGGTACCAGTTCAGAATTACAGAGGAAGTCTAGAGCTGGAATTATTGCTCTCGCTATAATGTTTTCGCAGCGACATATCACATGTGTGTTTTGAACACCATTTACGTATGTGGGAGTGACCTACATATGTATTTCGTCACTGTGCTTGAGCAGTGAGCATGAGGGGACGGGGCGCTTTAATAAAAAAAGTTTCTTTTTATTATTTATTTTTTAAATCTTTTTTTTTATTTTTACACCATCCCCTTTACATTGTTTTTCTCACTTTTATTGCTGTCACAAAAAATGTAAGCTTCTCTTGTGATCAGCGGCGGACTGACCATTTGGAAACTAGGGCACTGCCCGAGGGCCCGGGGTCAGTAGGGGGGCCCCATGAGATGCCCCTGGTACCTTTTTCATAGGCTTTTTTTGAGTGTGGGCAAGGACACAGGGGCCCCATGATCCCCTATTGCCATGGGGGGCCCCATGAGTTGTCAGTCCGCCCCTGCTTGTGATAACAATAAAATCATGACAGGTCCTCTTTATGGAGAGATCCGAGGTCCTCTACCTTTCAAAGCCTCAGATAAAAAAAAAATAATCTGATGCCCCGCCCCAACTAATGGTAGTGTTTACTTCTGCCCAAAACTGGAAGTGACGTCATGACGTTGCAGCCGGCCTCCTGGATCACAGAGATTAACTGAACCTCAACCACCGAATCGGATCCTGGGCTTCCTGGTGAGACGGGTAAGCCCGGCAACCACAGGAGAGCGTCGAGAGGGCTTCTAAAAGCGATCCAGTAGCTAATCAGATCACTTTTATTGAAAGAGCAGTGACTGAGGAAATTCCGGGGTTATGGCATACTGCTGCAGCCATTACCCCACTAAACCACTTCCAAACCACAAAGTATATATATGTACATATTGCGTTCTTGAAGTGGCTATGCTATTCATATCATCAGTTATATCCCTAATTGCATTTTATGCATTTACATGTGTTTGTCTTTATTTATTTATTTTTTACATGTGTTTTGTCTTTATTTATTTATTTTTTTACATGTGTTTGTCTTTATTTATTTATTTTTTGCATGTGTTTGTCTTTATTTATTTATTTTTTGCATGTGTTTGTCTTTTTTTATTTAAAATTATTTAAAAACAATTTTTGTTTTGCACATTTATATTGGATTATACACATTTTAGTTGTGCTACCCTTTCTCCATATTGATCACAGTATTGCAATACATTGCTTCTTGGCTGTGCTAGGGATTCCCACACGTTCGAGGGATTTTCTCTCACTTCCTGTTTGGAACAGGAAGTGAAGGTAAATCTCCCCAGTGTGGCAGAGATGGCGCAAAAAAAAAAAAAAAAAAAAAAAAACTTGACAGGGGTTATAACCCTCCATTACTCAACCATCACCATCAAAAATTTAAAAAGATTTACATTTATTTTTACAATAAGCGATTGCATATGACTACGAAGTTTTCAGGGCTCAGTAACTCCATAAACTTAAAGTAAAACTATAGGCAAAACTTTTTTTTCTCCATTTTTGAATTGAGTAAGAGGGGGTTATAACCCCTTTCAGTTTACTTTTTGCCATCTGTGTCCCATCGGAGAGATTACCTTCACTTCCTGTCGCAAAGCCAAAACAGGAAGTGAGAAGAAATCTCTGCAAAGGAATTTCTTGAGGATCCCCCACGTCACCAGAAGTAGTGTCCCCATTGGAAGATTTCCTCACTATTACTTTCTCTGGGGACAACCCAAAATGTGGGGATTTTCTTTACTTTCACTTTTAATAACGATAAACAGGACAAATAGAGAGGGTGAATCTCCCTAACAGGGACACAGACAGCAAAAAAAAAAAAACAAGATTTCTAATTCCTTCCACTCTGTCCAAAATTTAGTTGTACTTTAACCACCTCCTGCCCGCCATATGGTCCAATGACAGGCGCAAGGTGGTTCTCTTCTTCTGGGAGGACGTCATATGACGTCCTCCATTCTCACCGCGCATGCGTGGTTCAGGGAGCATGCCAGCCGCGCGGTGATCG